CAGGAGTGAGCCCGAGGGAGGTGACCACTAACTAGACTGATGCCACAGCACCTAGACAGGGAGCTAGCCTGAGATGACCACCGGTCCAGCGTCTTGCAGGCCTGCAGGAGCAGACCATGCCTGAGATGACCCCTGCCCAGCGCCACAGTGCATGAGCAAGGCACAGCACTCCTGAGACCTTCCCTGAGACGACCCCAGACACAGAGACTCGGGCATCACTAAGAGGAACAAGCAAGTGGTGGAGAAATGGAAGAAAGAGAAACAGAAGGATGTAGGCACAATGATGAGAGGCAAAACTGGAGACTTGAAGGTAGTGAGGAACAGCCTGATGTGAGTACTTGGTGATGCCACCTGGGACCATGGTGGGGTCCTGTCCTGTGCTGTCACCAGGGGCCATCTCTGAGTCCATGGACCAGCAGCAGCAGGGGTCTGTTACCATCAAAGGCCAGGCATCAATGTTCGTGGTCTGGGCTACTCTCTGGGGACAGGTTGATGGTTGGTGACTGTGTAGAATTGGTCCCACTCCTCACCTGGGCATCTTGGGAGAGCTGGCCCCGAAGGCATGAGAGTAGGAGAGTTGACCCTGCCTATAGGCAGCCCTAGGACTTGGGAGAGTGCCTTCCCATGCCCTGTACATTGCAGGGAGTTGCCGGTGAGCTGGCCTTGCCACTTGCCTCCAAAGAAATACCCTACTTCCCACTTGCCCCTCACCATCTAAGGCAGATGGGAGACCTGGCCCTGGGGTCGTGAGAGCAGGAGAATTGGCCCTGCCCCTCACTAGCTGCAGCACTCAGGAGAGCAAGCCCTGCACCTGGCCTGGCTCTAGATGTGGGGGTTGCAGAGGAGCTGGCCTGAGGTGTGAGTGCAGGAGAGCTGAACCCTGCCTCTTGTCTGCTGTGTGGTGGCATCATCCCCTCCCCTTTGCCCTCAACACCTGCAGCAGGTGGGATAGCTGGCCCCAAGGGAGTGAGCATGGGAGAGCTGGCCCTGCCTCTTGTCTGCTGGGCATGGCGTGGACGTGGACAAGAGAGAGATGCCCTTCTCCCATCCCACAGAAGCTGGCCTTGAGGGCCTGAGAGCAGGAGAGCCAGTGGCTGGCCAGCTGAGATACATCTCAGGCCCAGGTCCGGGGCTTTGAATTGACTCCCCTCAACATCCACTCCATCTAACGAACTACTGGAGTGTATGAAGGGGCTGGTTCTACAGATCCAAAGCTGCAGGATGGCCATGACACAGGGCAACAACAGGATATCTAAGAAGAGTCCCAGTGAAGATCCAATATTGATAGAGCAGCAGAAGCCAGAGGCCTCAAACCAGGGCAATAACTCATTGCTGTAAACATTTGCAAGCAAAGAAGTGTGGACAAAATGGTATAGCGTGAGACACACTGTGACACACTACAGCTTCCACACAAGGTTGTTTTTCTCCTTTTGCTCTGTTGAGGGGTAGATTGCTAGGGTGGAGGGTGGGTACAAGGACAGGGAGAGATGAGTGAGACAGGGCTGCATGATGTGAAATTCACAAAGAACCAATACAAATTTTTTAAAAAAATTAAGAACCAATAAAAAGATTTAAAAATTATATTCATTTATGTGCTCTCTCACACACAAGGGCATTCATGCGGAGGCCAGGGAACAGCCTGGGGAGTTTGGTTCTGTCCTGTTTGGGACTGTATGGATTCATAGACTCCCACTCAGGTAATCAGTGCTGGTGGCAAGAGCCTTTATCTGCTGAGCCATCTCATTGGCTCCAAATTGATTCTCTTTAGATGTCCTGACCACCACCAAACCAGCCTGTCAATTCCTCGGATGTTCTCTTGAAAACAATCGAGAGGAAACAAAGGGAGCAAAATAGCTGACAAGCCCATTTTCTTAGGTCAGAGGTAAGTCCTAACTACAGAGCTTATTTTCAGAGCCATCTGCTTTTCAGATTTATTTTTATTTTATGTGTACGAGTGCTCAGCCTGCACATATGTGTGTGTGCCACAGGCATGCCAGGCACCCACAAAGGCCAAAAATGGATGTTGAATCCCCTGGATCTGCAGGGAGGGATGAGCTGCCGTGTGGGCACTGGGAACCGAACTCATGTCCTCCGCAAGAGCAGCGACTGCTCTAAACCACTGAGCGCCACTCCGGCTTCTGGCCACTTTTGAGATAGCCTTGGCACGTTCTACCTGTGGGGTAACTGCTTTGGTTACTGCAGATCAGGATGGACAAGGGCCCAGAGAGAAGGGCAGCCAGACCTCAGAAAATGGATTCAGATGAACCCCGAGCACCCAGCGGGAGTCAGCCATAGGACAAAGGTCACAAATGGAAATGAGCAAATGGGGACAGCAAGAAGACAAAAAAAAATTCGTTGACTTTTAGGAGTATTAGGAAAGCAAAACAACAATAAACCCAAAGGCATCTGTGCCACTGTGAGTGAAACTGCTGGAGTCCTGAGATTCCTCAACATGAATTGAGGATTAAGTCAAGATGAATGTCCTGGAATGCCCTTCTGAGAAGAGACATTTAGACTGGAATCTGCGTCCCCAGGCAGATCACCAGTCCTTCAGTCACCTGCCTCATTATTATGGCTGAATACTTGACAAAAGGCCGACGAAAGAGGAAGGGTTTCTTTGGGCTCATGGGTTGTGTCCAGCATGGTGGAGAGGGCTGCAGTTCATCTGGCTTCCTTTCCTGGCCCCCCATGCCTCAGTCCAGGCCCCCAGCCCAGGGGATGGGGCCATCCACATTCAAAGCAGGTCTCCTGTCCTGATTAAACCGCTCTGGGAACACCCTCTTTGACCTGCCTAGAGGTGTGTCTCCCAAGTGATTTCAAGCCCAGCCAAGCTGACCACGAAGACTGACCACCACATTGTTCCGCTCTCCTCCTCTGTGAATTCTGGCCCGTCTCAGCTTTCTGACTCCGAGGAAAAGGTAAAAGGAGAGAACGGAGGGTTTGCTCACATCTGGCCAGCCTCTGGAGTCCACTGTATAACCAGAACTGGCTAAGAGTACTTGGAAGTTGCCATGTAAATACGGGGTAGATTAAAACTCAAAATAAATAGCTACTCCAAGCAGAATGAAGCCTTTCATTCACAGGAGACAAGCTCAGCCAGGAACTGGGTGGCTCTCTCATAGCCAGAAGGCACATTGGAGACAGACACAGAAACCCACCATCTCTCCTGACTACCCTGGCTCGGCTGCCCTTCTTCTCTGTCTACCTGGACAGGGACAAGCAGTGTTCTGACCAGAAGCACGCGGATGTGGACCTTGCTCCACTGCAGGGCGCCGGAGGAAACAGCTCAGTGGGATTTGCTGGGTAGCCAACGCTTGGGTGGCCCACGGGCCTCATGCCCAGGGCCCCATGCCCAGTGCCCCATGCTCCACGCTTTCCAGGGAACTGGCTGTGGTCACATTTCGAACTCTCTCCTCAGTGTGATGTGGGAGATGTGGCCTTAGGCTATTTCTGAACTAGGTCACTATAGCGTCATTACAAAACAGGCCTCACGCTGCAAGGTGGCGGTACATACCTTTAATCCCATCGCTTGGTAGGCAGAAGTAGGGGCCTCTCTGAATTCAAGGTCAGCCAGGGCCACACAGAGAAACCCTGTTTTGAAACCTGCACCGTCCCCCACCCCGAAAAACAGGATCCTCAGAGATCTCCCCTGTCTGTTCCTACAAGTGAGGATGAAGTAAGCCTTCATCAGATACCAAATTTGCCAGTAGTTACCTTGATCTCGACCTTCTAGCGTCCAGCATCTCGAGGCACATATTCGTATTGTTTTTACACTATCTAGCCTATATAGCAGCCCGAACAGGCCGAGAGGACCCCAGCTTGCCTTCCGATCTCCACTGAAAGCAGCTCCAGGTCAGGGGCTGTGGGCTTCAGAACCTTTCCATACAGTAGCGTGAGCTTCACCAAATGTCCTTCCAGAGAGAACTAGATCACCTTTTCCAAGAGTAGAGGTCTAAGACATCTGGTCTACCCATAGCCTGGGTTCGGGGCCACAGCTCTGAGCCTGTCCACCCTAGGGCTGTTACCTAAGCAGGCCTTAGAGAGGTTCTGTAACTGGTAGCTACTCGAAACCCTTGTGAAAAAGACACAGCGACAGAAGGGAGGCTGGAGATTCTTAGTCACGCGAGCATGTGCCCTCTCAAAACCCTAGGAAGCATTAGTTTCAAAACTGGCGGAGTTGTCCAATGGGTGACTTAGTCTAAGTTGAAGCACCCCTCAAACTTCCCACTTACAGCCGGTTTTCACGGGGAAATATTTCTGCAACCCCAGGAATTTAGGCACGTCAATGAGTGTACAGAACTAACACGTACTGGTAACAGATCATAAATTTATTTAAAAGTAATTCTTTGGTATAAATATAATACATAGTACAAAGTGGGAGAAAACTTTGTATGTACAGAAAAAAAACCCACTTCATTTCATAACATAAATAGTCTGAGAGCTGAGTCCTAGGTGTTTCTGTGGTGCCCAGGGATATCTGACCAGCAGCAGTCATAGCGACCAAGGACACCTTGGATCCATTCATTTTCATTTTGAATTAATTTTTTGTGTCTCGTGCTTTTACCATGTGCTAAATTCAGTAACTCAGCTCCCATTTCTCAGCCCACAGTTTAAGAAGGTGTGGTCTAACCTGGGCCAAGTTCATGAAGCCCATCTTCCCGCCACGCTAGCCTTGTCCGCTGCTGTCCAGAAGGAAGGTGTGCTTATGAGGGACAGACCTGAGTTTGGCTCACCAATCAGCCACGTGTGGCTGGCAGAAGCCTGAGTCCGCTCCGGCGGGCAGTGGGGACGGCGGGCAGCGGGGCAGCCCAGGGTGGGCACTGTCCACCCTTGGTGGCGAGGCGTCGCGCCCTGCCTCCTCCCGGAGCGGCGGCGGCTTGGGCGCGCTCCCAGGCGCATTCCAGGCTCGGCAGGCAGCCCCTCCTCTCCCGGCCTCCGCCACGGGGCTGGCGCCTCCCCGCGTCGCCGCCGGGACGGTCTCGTGCAGGCGGCTGCGGACTCCGGGGGCCTCGGGAGCTGCAAGGGACCGGCGCAACGCGGGGGACCCCGGGCCGGCCGGCGAACAGCGACTTGCCTTCCCCAGCGGCCAGGCTGTGCAGGGCAAGATGGGGCCGGGCTCGGAGCGCGCGCTCGTCCTCCTCCTGCTGCTCGTCGCCTGCCCCGGAGCGCGGGCTTCCCAGGTCAGTGTCCCCGCAGCCCGTCTTCCCGAGCGCCCAAGCCGGGGCGTGCCACGTTCCACGCCTGCGCTGGAGCCGAGGCTTGGAGCACAGTCTCGGGCTGGGCTTTGGTGGTTGGAGAGAGGAGCGGGTCCCCCCGTCTGTCATCGCAGGAGACCCGGGAGGACCTGGGCGGCTGCAGCCCAGCGGGAGGAGGCGGCTCCGCATGGGAAGCGCCCGCAGGGGACAGCCGCCCTGGGACGTTGAGACGTTGGTCTTCTGTGGGTCGCCGTGAGAACACCTGGCCAGGCAGTTCTGTAAACCCAGCCTTTACATTTCCAGCTGAAATAGTCCCGCCGCCACCACGTCTTAGCCCTTCTCAGAACTGAGCAGTGGCGTGGAGGATCCTCAGGTGGTCGGTCCTCTCCTGAGACCTTGGAGCTGCAATTACCTTTTCTTGCAGACCCATACGGGCTGCGGCGTTTTTCTCTTTTCTTCCTTTTTTTCTTTTTTCGTCATTTATGAGTCCGAATCCCACTGGACTAATTTACCTGACTAGATTTTTTTTTTTTTTTACACTAACCATTGGAAGCTGATTTTTAAAATTAAGAATGTAAATACAAATTCATTTCGGGGACTGTATAATCGCCAGGTTCAGGGTCAGCTTCTATCCTACGTATTCCTACAGCCAGGGAGAGGCCCTTCACCTCTGTGAGAGTCCAGGCGGAGCAGTAGCCCGCCAGCGTCTCCAACCGTGCCTGCGGCAGCGTAAACAGCTCCAGGCTGTGTGGGGAAGCTGGGTGCCTGCTGAGCGTCAAGATCCTTGCTGGGCTTTAGGCCTTCTGGAAGGCACTGTGGTCTCTTTTTAGACTCTCCCCTCCTGATCCTTGTCCACACTCCATGTCCTGGGGCTAAATGGCTGTGCACAGGCAAGCTTGCCCGGGGTTACTAAGACACCCCTACTCTCCCCCGGGGGTGCAGCAAGGATTTCCAAGCCTGGAGAATTTGGTTGAGGTCAGACCTGCTCATGTTAGCGCAGAAGGTAGAGTGGGCGTCACAGGAAGTTGCTCAACGGCCGAATGGCAAGGTCCCAGGCTGGGGCTGCAGTGAACCCACCCACACGAGCAATGGGATCTCCCCAGTTTGGCAGATTTCAAAGCCAAACTAAACCTTCACCCTATGCCCGATGCCAGAATCACAGAGGATACATCTCCACCGGGCTCCTCCATGCCAGGCTGGGAAGGGGCAGGGCGTGCGCAGAGGAGAGGCGCTGTTCCGGAGACTAATAGCCTCCTGATTCTGAATGAGCATCTGTCACAGGCGGTTACATGGGAAATGGGAAGATTAGGGTACTGAATGAAGCTGGGGCAGAGGCAACCCTGAGCTTGCCTCAGCTTCAACGTCTTTCTGAGAGCCAATCCCTGTCCTGTCCTGACCAGTTTTTCTTAGCCCCTTACTGCTCAATGCAGACAGCCTTCTTTATCTGCAAAACACCTGTTGCAGGTGAAACCAAAGGGGGCACAAAGGATCGGCCATAGAAGTTTGTTTCAAAGTCCTAGTTAAACTGACCTTCACCCAAAGAGAATGGCTCCGTCTCCCCTGTCTTTGCTCCAGGCTGGGAAGGCAGAGGAATGAGCCACGTGGAAACATCAGTGTTACCCGGCTCCTTCTCATCTTCCAGACCTCTGCTCTGATAAGCACATCTTCCCAGAGGCTTCCTGGTCCCCTGCCCTACAGAGATTTCCTCTCTGCATCTGTTTTCCTGTGGTGGTCCCCACAGGGCAGATCATCATTGGCCAGGGTCAGGCAGTCTCTGGGCAGATCTTGGCCATGCATGACCTGACCCAAAGGACTTCTAAAAGTCCTGATGCCATCCTTACCCCCACAGGCTCTGGTTTGGTTGGTCCAGGTTGTGCCTCAGGTAGGGCTATTTTTATAGCCCTCCCTAGTGATCCTTACAGAGGAGATACCTGAGACCCAGAGCAATTTCAGCCCCCAGAGCCACCGCGTGGAGTCAGTTACAGCCCAGGGGAGGTCTGGGGTCGTTGGAATTCTCAGTGTGTGTGACACAGTGTGCTGGAGACCACCCGACAGCATGAACCCCAAGGCTCTCAGATCCTGTGGTGAGACCTGCTGGCAAGCAGGAAGGATGGGACTTCTTACCCACAAACACTGTCCAGTGCAGGAACGGACACATTTTATCAGTTCACCTATAGAACACCATCCATGGTGTCATTTCTAGAGTTTTGGCTATCATGAGCAGACAGAGCATCACAGGTCAGGGAGGAGAGCTGGCCAGCTGCTAAAAGCATTTGCCACACAAAGCTGATGACCTGAGTTTGAGCTCCAGAACACACATGAGCTACACACTCACACACACACACACACACACATTTTTAAAGGAGTCACAAAGATTTTTGTGTAATATAAATTTTCTTTGACTCAGTATGAATGTGTAGAGGCAGGGTTGCTAAATCAAATGGAAGATGTGTGCAAGAAACTTTCAAACTCTATGTTATAGCCGCTGTGTCCCACCAGCTATCTGTGAAGGAGTCAGCTCCTCTGCTCCCTTGCCGGGACTAGCATTACTAGGGTTTTCACCCCAAATCATTCCGATAGCTGCCTAGTGGGATCTCTGCATAATTTGCGTTTCTGTCTCCCTAACGACTGGCGAATGGTGTGGGATGTTTTCTTGGGTGCTAGTTGCTGTTTAAGTGCTCATTCAAGCCATCTCCCTTTTGGTTCTGTTTGTGAGATGGAAGTCATGTCCAGTTGGTGGGCTCAAGTGTCCTTCTCACCTCAGCACCCCCAGTAGCCTGGGCTATGGTCAAGAGCGGCCTTGCCCACCTTGCCTGGATTTAAAATGGATTGTCCTCATTCTTGTTCAGTTTGGAGCTCTCCTTTACAGATTCTAAAAACAAGTGAGCTAAAAATATTTTCTCAGTGCGTAGCTTCCTTGAACTGTTTTTTTTTTTCTTTTTCTTTCAAAGATGAGGTCTTGTGTAGCCCAGGCTGGCTCCTAAGGTTAGACCTGACCTCCTAACCCTGACTGTCTCCACCTCCCACACGCTGAGATCAGATGTGCACAACCACACCCGCTGAGTGTCTTTGGTGGACCAAAGTTTAATAAAGACATATTTATTGGCCAGAATTTTAGTAATCAAATTTAAGAACCTTTGGTCTAATCCCAGAGCCAAAGCATTTCTCTCCTGTTTTCATCTAAAATGTTCATAGCTTTGCCATTTTGAGCTTTTCTTAATAGCATGGGATTTAAATATAGATACTCAATTCTTCCCATAGTGTCTATAAAAATGCCACTAAGTTATCATTGAGTTGCCTAGGCAACAGTCAAAAGCCAAACCTTTCATGAACATAGGATTATGCATGCATCAATAGTATACTATCTTTTTCAAAAATTTGTTTATTCACTTCCTGTTTGTGCATGTGTGTGTGCTCATGTGTATGCTACTAGAAATTTATTAATGGAGAAAGTGAGTTTTTCACCTTTATTATCACCTTTCTTTCTTTCTTTCTTTCTTTCTTTCTTTCTTTCTTTCTTTCTTTCTTTCTTTCTATCTATCTTTTGTTTGTTTTTGAGACAGTGTTTCCCTTTGTAGCTTTGGCTGTCCTGGACTCCCTTTGTAGAGGAGGCTAGCCTTGACCTCACAGCGATCCACCTGCCTCTACCTCCCTGAGTGCTGGGATTACAGGCATGTAAATTGTGGCCAAATTGTTTTGATTATTCTAGTTTCCTTGTTTTTTTCATTAACAGTTTGTGGTGAGGGTCAATGGTGGGTCAGCGGGTAGAGGCACTGGATACCAAGCCTGACAACGTGAGTTTGATTTCTGGTACCCAGACTGGGGAAGGCGGGAACTGACTCCTAAAAACTGGCTTCTGATCTCAGCCGCACATGCGTGGCATCTGTGTGCAAATGTGCACGCACATGCACACAGAGTGTGTAAATAAACACAACAAAATCTTTAAAATGTTTAGAATGAGCTCTTCTTTATACATAAAAAATCCTACTGCAATTTTGATTGCTGTTGTGTTATATTTATAGATCAATTATGGGGCAAAGAGCCTTCCGACGTGTGAATAAAGTATGTCTTCCCATTTGCTTAGATAGTACTTGATTTTTTTTTTTAACCATCAGTGTTTTTTAGTTTATCAGAAACTTGCTTTTTTTAGAATTGGGTCTAATTATTCTAATTTGGGCTCATTTAAAATGCTTTTAATCGGGTTGGAGAGATGGCTCAGTGGGTAAAGAACTTGCTCACAAGTGCGATGACAGAAATTCAGATCCTGAGTCCACAGAAGTGCCAGGCAGGTGGGGCGGCCTTCTGGTGGTCCCCGCACACGGGAGGCAGTTTGACATTTATGTCTAGAACTCCCAGAGCAAGCTCACAGGACAGAGAACGTTTGAAAGCATTGCTGTCCCCACCACCTCTCCAGGAGGCCACTCCCTATGTCTAAAAGGCTGTGTCTCCAGCGGTGGGCATTTGTTCCATGGATCACCACAGGGCCGGGTAGTCTATTGTGATCAACCTCCTGTCTTGTCTAACCTTCGGAGTTTTCTGGCATGTTTTCTCCCTCAGCTGAGTCTGTCATGGACGTTGCCGTGATGACTTTGTATTGATCTTTCCTATAAGCCATTCACCCAGGATCTCTCTTTGGAGGCTCTCTGCATTGGTTTGATAGGGACCTGCCTGCTGACCTAGGGACTTGAGGACAAGGCCTCTCTGCTCTCATGAACATTTTGAGGTCCTGAGCATGGTCTGCCTTGGTTCACCGAGTCAAGATATCTATGATACCACTTCCTTCACTATCTGGGCACTGCCTCGGCCCGATGTGCTTGCTTGAACCTGCCCGTTGGTCATTTGCCCCATTGATCACGTCATTGCCAACACACACATTTTAAACTTATGAGATGGGGTTTTTGTGGCCCATTCTGGTCTCAAACTTGTAAGTCTTCTACCTCAGACTAATACATGCTGAGACTGTGATCTGGAAGTGTAAAGGGGCA